TATTGAAAGATCTTTTTACCGTAAAATTGTGCTTACATTCCTGAGATAAAAACCAAGTAAAAAGTAAATGTGTACATATATGTATGTCTGTAACTGGATCTAAGTTTTGATTTAGTTTAATGTTTTAGTTTCAGTATCCTTAAGTGAGGATGCGCTCACTTTGCTCCTTTCTATGGATTAATTTGTATACATTTGGGATCAGCTGTTTAATTTTTCTTTGTAGAAATAACTTGTAAAATCATCTCAGTCTAATTGCTTTTTTGTGTAGTGAACTCAGTTTTGTTAAGGGTCATACGTTTACTTATAGTTGAATAGGATTTGGCAACATACATTTTCCCCATTAAGTGCAATTTATCTATTTCCTGATTAATTGGCATAAAATTGTTCTTACTATTTTGTTTTTAAAAACACTGCTGTATCTGCTAGCCCTACTTTTCATTTATAATGTTGTTTCTTTAAGAAAGTCTAGCTTGTCAAAGGACTCAAATTTTACTTATGTCAAATAACCAACTTTTGGTTTTTGGATCCTCTTTTGTATTTTGCTTTCTATTTCACTGGTTTGCATTCATTTGTGTTTATCCTTCCTATTTCTGTTGTTTCTTTATAACTTTTTGAATAAACATTAAGTTATTCATTTGCTAGACTCCTTTTCTAATATAACCATTTAAGGTTACATATTTCTTCCTCCAGGCACTGTTAAAAATGCATTACAGTCTTTTTTTGGTCTTTCCATGATCAGTAAGTTTTAAATATTTTCCACTTTTCATTGTTACCTTGCTCCTATAGAGTCACTCGCTTCCTCACCCCTTCATTCTGCTCTCTGCCTCATAGACTGCCTGTACAGACCACCTCAAAAGAAGGCTGGGCCTCATGTCGTGAAAGAACTTTAATATGTTAGTGTACATAAAGAAGAGAAGAAAGGTTAATAGTTTTCCAATAAAACACCCAGTTACCTATCCCCTGTGGGTAAATGCCCAGACCAACAGGGTTGCCCCAAAGCTAGGCTGCCGTGGTCTGAAAACTTGTCCTAAGTATAAGGCACCTTCTGGTAGGGCCTCTGTCTTCTGATTGAGGTCTGCCAATTATTATTCCTGGCAGAATATAGAAGAGGAAAGCCAGATCAAGTTAATTATTTCTGTGGTCTCTCCTCTCTGTGATTGCCTCAGGCTGGTTGCGACCCTTGGCAGAAAGTCACTGCTTGAAAGGTGACCTGGTCTAGAAACCAGAACTCTCTCCTTTGGGATCCCAGTAACTCCATTCTTTCCTTGTCTCTTTGCTCCAGAGGTTGAGATAATTCTACTGCTACTATTCCCAGGTGTTCTTCATGGTCTCTTGTGAGTCCCATATGTCCTTCTCACACCTTTAAATTTTGGTCCTTTATAAATTTATAAAACAGAATGACCATTTATTGTTTGTTGAGCCCCTGCGTGATATGCCATTTTTTATTTAGTCTAAATGATTTATTTAGAAGCTTGTTTTTGACTTTCCAAATATGAGTGTTTTTTAAAATTATAATTTTAAATTGTTTATTTAGTTGTTTTGAAGAACATGTTTATTTGCATGATACTTTGTTGACACTTGCTTTATGCTCTTTACACGACTTTAATTTTGTTCATATGTACTTGAATAGAACTACATAGTTTTGTTACTTTTGGTTGAAAGAAGGGGGTTGTATAATTGTATATTTACCAAATCTTTTATTTATTTTTTTAAAGGTTTATTTATTTGTGCATACAGAACTGGGGTACAGGCCAGAGGCTCAGGGGTGGCGAGAGGCTTCACCAGAGACAGAGTGGGGAGCAGAACAGGCAGATCGACCAAGTATACTGCTGAGGGGAGCAGCAGGCGGGTCAGGAGAGGTCTGCCACGCCATGTGGTCACCTCCGGAGCAGGCGGGGATCGAACTCATGCGGAAGCGGCTTTAGCTTCTCAGTGCTGTGCTTTAACCTGCTGCGCCACCAGGGAGGGCCAGCAGATCTTTTATTTTTTAAAGATTTATTTATTTATGCATATATAACTAGAGTACAGCCCAGAAGTGTTGAGAGGAGGATTCACCAGAGACAGAGTGGGGAGCAGAACAGGCAGACTGACAAAGTACACTGCTGAGAGGATCTGTGGCTGAGACAGGAGTGGTCTGATATGCCATGTGGATCACCTTCGGGATGGGGACTGAACTGGCTCCAAAGTGGCCAAGGCCAGCTTCACAGTGCTGAGCTTTGAACCCACTGTGCCAGTAGGGAGGGCCCAAGTCTCTTCTTTAAACAATATTTTTTCTTTATTTACATTTGAGGTTGTTATCAGGTACATACAAGCTTAGAATTATTTTCTCTTCCTAATGATTTTCTCCCTTTATCAGTATATAGTGATCCTTTTTATCCTTAATAATACATTTTGCTTTAAAGTCTATTTTGTCTGAAGTGAATATGGCCACTCAAAATTTCATACTGCCTTTGTATATATATTTTTTACTTTTCCCTCTCTTTTTTTCTATGTTTTAGGCTTGCCTTGTGTCAATAGTATACAGGTGACAAAAGTTAAAATGATGTAATTTATCTGTTCTTAAAACAATATTGCTATTTAAATTTACAAAGTATAGTACATCTATCTACAACTCAAGGAATTTGGATTCCAGACTCCACCTCAGTACCCTATGACCTTGAACAGCTCTCTCAAACTCTTGAGATAAAACACACATCCTGAATTGGATTATCTTGAGTGTTTCTTCTGTCATTCCATTAAGATATATTAACATGTTAAAATAGTTTTGAGATAAGAAGTCTTGAAAATGAGTCCAATTTTAAAAACAAAATCCTAGTGTAATAATTCATTACATTGATAACTTATGCTTAGCTTTGGGATATTTGCTCTTTTCAAGTAAAACCATTACTTGACAAAGGATCCATTACTTAATGTGATGTCTCTTTACAGTTTAATTTCTTTTCTGAGGATAACCCATGTTTTTAAAAAACATTTTCTGTGATTTGGGGAAGTTATTCAAATATGTTTTCTTGTGATTCAAAGAGTTTGTGGTTTTCATAATGCAAGAAAAACTTTTAAGTTTGTATTACTAATTTTCTGCCTCAATTTATTTAAGCTTACTTTTCCATTTCTACAAAATCCTTTCTGGAGTTGTGGATGCTATAATCTTCACCACTTTATCATAAGATTACTCTAAAAATAATATCACTGGATTGGAATTCTAAGACCTTAGAAATAAACATACAATTCTCATTGTTAGTCTCCCTGGTGGAGGTGCAATAATAACTGCATCTGATTTTCAGTCAATGGTGTTAGACCATTTTGTTTGAAGCCTGATTTTGTGCAGTTGGCTTCAGTGACATAGCCCTCAAGAAGACTCTAGGAAAGAAGAGTTCATACTGTTTCTTGGCTCTGACTTTGCTCTCATTTTATGCATGTCTGGGTCATGTGTCAAACAGCTTCATGGCTGGATCCCTTTCTCAAATGACCCACATAACCACAGCAACCTGGGAGGTTGTGTCAGGACCACTTTTGTCATTGAACTGACAATATTCCTATCAAGAGTTTGCTTCTTATAAATCAACCATACCTTCCCCAAAACTACAATGTTATAGTTACCTTGATTTGACTTGGTTATTTCTTAATTGGCCCCAATAATATATTTGGAGGCTTTAGGAGGGGTCAGTTCTCTACATGACTCAGCCCATCTTTCAATGGACCATTTTCCTATGTAGATGCAAAACAAGTGGGTAGGAGGTGGGAAGCTAGAACCTAAACTGAGTCTCTTGAACTTTATTCATATAAGATTTTTAATCTAAGTTACACAGATATTATCTATTTACAAATAAAGGATATAAAAGTCCTTTTCACCATCCCCCAACTTTTGCTCCCCTCTCTAGGAGGTAACCATTATTAGTTTTTGAGTTTTTATTAGTTTTTAAAAAACTTTTTAAAAAAGATTTATTTATGTATACCTACAAGAACTGGGGTATAGGGAGTGGGGGGCGGGGGTGAGTGAGGAGATTCACCAGAGACAGTGGAAAACAGAACAGGCAGATGTACTGAAATAGGCTGCTGAGGAGAGAATCCGTAAGACAGGAGAGATCTGTTTTGCCATGTGGTTCTGCTACCTGGCAGGGGATCTAACTAGTGTTGCTGTGGCTGCAGAGAGTTTCATAGTGCTGTGTGTGTTTACCCCCTTGAGCTACCAGGGAGGCCTCCAGTCCACTTTTTATACACGTCTTTTCTCTATTGTATATCCATATTTTCTTTTTACAAAAAAATGACATCTCTTCGTCTTATAGGTAGGACACTGAATGAGACCTTGGGAGGAGGTAAATGTTGACATTTATTGGAGAAACAAATTGGATTTATTGGAGAAAGCAAAAGGAACAATATTAAAATGTACTATTAAAAAATAAGCCTACAACGTGTCTGCGTCCAACGCTTTATTGGCACGAATATTTTTACTGGTATTTTACTACCGCTGGATGAGTTGCCGCACTAGGTTAATCAAAAATTAGTTTAGAGGTTGGGAAGCAGGTGCAGAAGTCGCTTCAGTGAGAAGATCTAGGTTTTTTATTCTGATGGAAGCTGCAGAAAATCTATCAGAAAGCCGTGAAGCAGTAAAAGAAAAAAATAAAAATACTGGCATCGGTTTACAAAATTTGTGAAGCAGAAACGCTTAAGAGCCCACTGCCTGCCGAAGCCTACGCTTCCTTCAGAAGCCCGGAACGGATAACCCGCCTTGACACTGGCCTGGGAGCTTGGAGAGGAAGGCACCAGAAAGACGTTGTACAGGAGGATGAGGCTGCCGGCAGCAACTCAGCAACAGGACGCGAGAGCCAGGAGACCCCCCCCCCACCGCCGACATCAAGTGCGCATGCGCCGACTAACGTAAGTCGAGGGGCGGGGCAGAGAGGCGGGGCTTAGAGCGGTCAATGAGCCTGCGCAAAGCGCGCGGCGAGGTGGGGGAGGGCGGTCCGTGTGTGTCTGTGTTGTTGTTCGGCGGCAGCGGCGGCGGCGGTAAGATGGCTGCCCACGGGGGCTCCGCGGCGTCGTCGGCGCTGAAGGGGTTAATTCAGCAGTTCACCGCCATCACCGGTAAGAGACGCGGTTACCGGAAGGTGGAGAGTGGGGTCTGGAACGGGCGGCCGGTTTGCCCCGGACTTCCCTTACCTTCTTGCATCCCTCCCTCGGGCTTTACCCCTGCTCTCGTCTTCCCTCCTGAGGAAGAGGCGACGACGGCGTCGGGTCCACGGGTTCAGGCGGGAGACGGACCCCCGCCCCCACGCGCCCCACACCCTCCTTGTCGGTCCTTTCGCAGTGTGGAGGGCCACCCCCACCTACTCTCTGCCTGCCCAGACTCCTGGAGTGGGCCAAGCCGATCCGCCCCCGCCGGCCCGGGGACCTGGGGGCGGGAGAGGTGGGGGGGCCGCACCCGGGCCACCGCCCTCCTCCTCCTCCGTGGTCTTCACAGTGCAAGCTCTGGGGCGCACTGCATCCTCTTACTCTCTTTTTCCTTTCTTCCTCTGCCAGGTCATTCCCCCGCCCTCCTGAGCCCCCCCCTCCCCCCGGCCCCTGGCCTGCCCCTTCCCCTTTCTGGGCCCCTCGGAGCCTTCGCGGTGGCCCTGGCTTGTTCCGGCCCTCCCGCCTTAACGGCGAGGCTGGTGGGTTCGGCAGCGCCTTTACCGATCGCGGGGTATAGTCTTCCAGAAAGGGAGGTTGGTAAGGGGTAGCTGCAAGACTGAGGTTTTAGGAAACGAATGAGGAGGAAAGAAGCCCCCATCACCTTGGTAGGGAAGGCCTGGCGGAATCCTGGGTGGCGTTTCCCACCTCCCCATAATAAAATCAGAAAGACTGAGACGATGGCGCCGGGGCCTCCTGCTGATAAAATGGGGATGGCGGCAGAAACTTCTTTGAGAGAAAAATCAGTTTCTGGGTGTCAGTATCCCCCAAACCCTCGGTTTCTCCTTTCCTTTGCACCCCTGCTGAAGGCACACGCAGATCCTCTTAAACCTGGAGGAAAGCCCTAAGCCATTCTATGAATTCTCTGTCTTGTTTCTGTCTGATGGTGCTGAACTTTTTTTGCATGAGTTATTAGAGGGCGGAGCAAATGATGAAGTTCTCTGTGGAGTGATTTGAGAGACGAGTACTCCATGTGCTTGAGTGTAATTTTGCCTTTCTGGTTTGTCATTTTGGAAGGAGGTCAGAATGTTAGTTTCTTCCGTTAGCAGATTTATACTTATCTGGTAATGGGTTAGGTGCCGGAAGGCGTTTCCAACTAGTTTGATGTAAAATTTTATATTGTTTTAAGCATTACAGGTTGTATGCAAGTTGCCGTTATGTGTGTAATTTAAATTAGTTTTATTTTTCACTCTAATTAAATATTTGATGTGATATGTAGTTTGTGGGCATGTGACATCCATCCAGTTGATAAAATAAAATGTTATAAAGTTGGAACAAAAATGAAATACTTTTCTTAATAATTTGTGATTGGACTATTGAAAGATGTAATTTCTCAGTTTCTAAGCAGGTCGTTATTACTGGGAAAATTAGAAAAGTATCGTGTATATATAAGCAAGTATTGATTAGATAAGAAATTATTTGTAGTAAATAAGATATAGAAGTGATTATTGTTAATTTTCTTTATATTCTCTAGAAGTGATTTAATTTTGATTTTTAAAAAAAGATTTGTTTTTTTATGCACACAACAATTGGGGTGTAGGCCAGAGGTGCGAAAGCCTGAGAAGATTCACCAGAGAAGAGAGGAACAGAACAGGCATAAGTACTGAAATACACTGCTCAGGGGAGCAGCCGGTGGGTCAGGACAGGTCTCTACTGCTCCTTGGCCAGAATTGAACTCATGATGCAGTGGCAGAGGGTGGCTTCACAGTGCTGAGACAGCCCTTTATGCCATCAGGGTGGCCCCTAGTTTTAATTTTTAATGCTAACTACGATCCCTCAGGAACCTGGTTGTTTTAGTGCCTCTTATTATTTCTTTCAGTGCAACATTTCTGTTGAGAATAAACACCTCAATTGTTGTGAGATGAAGAGACTTAATTGCTTGAGTTCTGTTAACTTACAAGTCTACAAGCCTTGTTTCCTTTTCACAGTCTTTTTATTCCTGTATCAAGTTGGAAACATCAGTAGACAATGCCACCTGGAAGTCTCTAAAAGGGAAAATACCATAGATTCTTTTTAGTATATCATGAGTTTCTACTAATAATTTTTGAGATTTTTTTTTAAACAAAATAGTGTTTAACTATTGGGAACAAATGATTCACCCCTTTAATCTTTTTCACATATTTTAAAAAGAAAATTTGTGATTTTAGGGCCCTCCTTGATGGCACAGTGGGAAGACATTTGATACTTTTTGCTGGATTAACAAAACTAATCTTAAGAACTTAAGTTGTTTCAAGATTTTACTTACCTGGAAGCCTAACATACTGGTAAAGGCAAAGCATTTTCAAAAATACAAGTCTCATTTTCTCTGTGGAATTTAAAAATAAGAGAAAATAGAAAGTTTTAAGTTTTTTCACTAAATAGAACAAATCTCTGTATAATATGTGAGTGTGAAGTAATGATCTTTACAAACATTATTACTAGCTATCACAACAGTTTGAACTATTTTTTTGCAAAATAAAAAATCTCCACTCTCAGAATAACAGTATTTACATTATTTTGCATAGCCTGTTTGCATTTATATACTTATTTTTACAATGTGGATCTTAGCTTGTATAATTTAGAATTCTGCAATTTTCACTTAACTGTTTAGTCAGCATTTCCCCCATGGTCAAATTCTTTGAGAAGCAAGTAGCCCAGGGAAATAATGGCCTTTGAAGTATTTCCATTGAGAGGCTGTATACCTTTTCCATTGGTGACTTTCCAGTCATCTTAAGGCTATATAAGAAACCAGTTTTATTTCTTTATATATGTACCATATCTTGTAATATTACTCAGTTTGATCTTCCTTGATATTCATTATACATGACTTTGAATGAGTTGACACTCACAGGCATATTAGTTCTCAAACCATGAGAAAGAATTACTGCTGGATCTGGTAGTAATTCAATAGAACAGTTTAAAAATGTTTTGAACCATGTTGGTACCCTGTTAACACTTAACTTGAGCAGACATCTAGCTATACAAATACAAAATGCACAAATATAATCATAGTAATTTATAAAAAGAGGGACACCTAGATGTTACAGAATAGGTAAAATAGAAGGTAAGGACAAAATGTGAGGAAGTAGCAAGTGGAGGCTGAGAAGAGTACAAGAGGTTGCTAGTATAGAATTCCTTAATGCTTTGTATATGGTTTACGTTTGTATATTTAATGCCATTATCTGACTACACTTGCAGAAGAGATCTTAGTTTAATCATTCTCTAAAGTTGTTGAGTGAATGCATATTTATTAAAGAAATTGGAAATTTATGTGTGTAATATTTGGCTTCATTACCAGTTCTCATTTACACTTGTATGCATTACATTTCTCTTGTATTAGTACTAAAATCAGTGAATGCTGTTTCAAATATTTTAGATATCAAAAGAGAACTTAGAATTTTGAGAGCTATTTCAAATGGTGATGATGTTTGAACAGAAATTTAGGGAGGTAATACACCTTTTTGGGTTATTAATAGACTCTTAGTGATAACTTAAGTATGTATTGATAGTCTGCTATCAGGTATGGTTCAGATTCAGGGGATACTACCATAGAGGCTGTCCTTAGAAACTGGGAGAATGATAGGAACTGTATGGGAGCACAAAAAAAGGGGGAATGGCAACAAAGACTTTCCAGAAGAAAAAAATTTTTGAAGATCTATTTCATTTATTATTTTTTAAAGATTTATTTATTTATACATACAAGAACTGGAATACAGGCCAGAGGTATGGGGTAGTGTGGGGCTGGGGGGTGGAGAGACAGATTGGGGAACAGAACAGGCAGATTGACAGAAATACTCTGCTGAGGGGAGCAAAAGATACCTGCTGTACTATGTACATAGGCCAGCTCTCCCTGGCTGGGGGTCAAATCCATGCTGCAGTGGCAGTGGATGGCTTCATGATACTGAGACTTACCCCCTGAATCTAATAATAAAAAAATGGTGCTTTAAAGATTTTTGGATGGCAAATTATTATGAGAAAATGCCCAGTGACTAGTACTAGTCACTAAGTAAAAACAAAACTACTATGCCACCAGGGAGGTCCACAGTATATAGTTTTATGAATCTGGTTTTTTTCACTTAGGATATTGCATATGAGATTTATTCATGTCATTGTGATATGAATAGTTTTCTTCCTTTTTATTAGTGAATATATACTATTATATGGACATACTACAGTTTATCCATTTATAAAGTGAATGAACAACTGTGGTTTTCAATTTGGGAGGATTATAAATACAGCTGCTAAAAATATTATATTGTATATATTTTCATTTCCCTTGTATGACACACATAAACATTATTAAATCATATATACCCATATAGGTATATAAGAAATTGCTAAACTGTTTTCTAAAGTCAGTATACCAGTTTACATTTCCACCAATAATGAATGTCTGAGAGTTCTAGTTACCATATACTAGTTTTTTCTAGAAATTCCATTTTTTAATAGGTATTTAAATGATATGGCATAATAGTTTTAATTTGCTTTTACTTAATGACTTAACAGTATTGGGCATTTTCTCATGATAATTTGCCATCCATAAATCTTTAAAGCACCATTTTTAATTATTAGATTCACTAGACATAAAATTACACTATCAGATTGCTATAACAATTCTAAGTACCTGTCCTGCAGTTGTTTTTATCTTGTCATGAACTAGTAATAGGTAGCTGGTCTGAGGGTCGTATTGTGGGTAGGTAACACTGATCTAGGTAAGAGCAGAACAGGGGTGAAAACTCTGGTGTCTTCATTCTCACGTTCATGCCTTTTCCACCATATTACTGCTTTGCTCATTGTAGTTTACTTTGTTAATACAACAAAAATCAGCATGTGTTCTTTAACTTAATCATTCCATTTCTCTTGTATATTAAGCTTTTGTGTATAATCAGAAAACAAAAATGTTTCCTACTTTTAAATGCTTCTTAAAAACACCAGGA